CCATAACCACAACTCTAAGCCCGTTTTTATTTCTTTAACATCACTTAGAGGTTGAAATATGTTCACCACAAAGATATATAAATGTCCTAACCTGTTCTTTAAAAATGTGAACTTTTTAGAAATAAGTATGTTAAGTGCATTCAAATTGTTTTTTATAAGGAGAGACAGACACATGGATGTGGGGTGGGGGACACAGTGTATTAACAGAGACAATCCAAGAAGCTACAAGGATTAATGGCTCCCAACTGAAGTTAGGGAGAGACAGGGAAGGAATTCACCCAAAATTCCAGAACAAGTTAGGTGGCATGACAAACTTGATTTTGGATCTGAAGACTCTTCAGAGAATACATTTCTAGTGTTTTAAATCACCTGGTTTGCAATCTTTTGTTGTGGTAAGCCCTGAAAATTAATGTGCCATTTTCATTTGATTGTTCATTTTTATTTTTATCATGTTCTCTTGGGGGAATTTCAAAACAAAATGACAGGTAGTGTCTGAATGCCAGACACTGTCTTGACATATGGTGAAATCATCAATGCCCTGCAAAAGTCCTGATGTTCAGGTCCTTTGGCCTTTGGGGCCATTATCATCCACAGTGTCACATTGAATCTTATTTATGTCTGCCAGTAAGATTGTTCCAATGAGCACTTATAATGTTGATCTTCAGATGCCTCTACAAGCTGCCAATGACATCCTGGTTCCTATTAGACCCACTTCTACAGGTTATTTTGAATATAATGAGATAAAATTATTTTCAAGTATATTGCTGGTTAAGATAAAAAGATGTGTTACTATTTTTGTGCTCATTGCTGTGCAAATGCTACACACACACACACACACACACACTCATATCTATATATTTCCATATATATTCACGGAATTTTCACAAAAAGGGTAGAGGAATAATGTAGCTTTTCTGGGGTCATATGGTAAGAAAACAAAGGAGCTGGGATTTTAAGCTATATCTATCAGACTCTAATGCCCATTTCCCCCCTATACTATAATATAGTGTATTAAGCAATATTAAAATCCCTTCAAATTTCACTTTTTAACTCCCCCACCTAATTTACTATAAATATCTTTATAATGTATTTCCACTCTTTCTTTCTTTTCCATCTTCATCTCTTGTTATCATCTCCTGTTCACGTCAGCCTCCTGCTACTCACATACATATACACATATATCCTAAAGAAATGCCTCATTCCCTGGAAAATATTTATTCTCTCATTTTTCTCCATTTTCAATAATCTTCTCTTTGGACCCCAGCCACCCATATCTTAAGTCCACTGCACATGATGAATAGCTCCCTGTTTCTCATGACCCATAGGACACACCAGATTCTCTGAGTCACACATTCCTCAGAGGTTGCTTCCTTCCTGCCACACTTGCTCACACTATATTCTGATGATGGCTTGGGATTAGGAGAAGGTTTATGAGTCAGTCAGGTACTACAATATTCAGTCTAGGAGCTAAGGGGTCAGAATAATCACTGGGATATTAATTTGTTCCCTAAAAGTGGCATCTCATAGGGATGATACATTGGGCTAAGGATAGAGGAAATTCAGAAGAGGGTAGAAGAAAGCTTATCTTCACATATCAAGAAAGATAGATGATTTAGTAAGGCCTGAGAATATCTGTGTTTTTATTCACAGGTTCAAGCAAGTCCTACTAGGTGGAACCTGTAAGGTAATGGGACGACAAATTAGGGTCGGTTACCTATTATCTAGGAAACTGAACTTTTGGGTCCTCAAGGATCCAGTAACCTATGTATACTATGAAACTAGTGATCTTCCAGACTCAACTAACAGACTAAGTTTTGGCCAGACATCCATAAATAACTTATGTGAAACCAAGATTCAGGTGGTCTTCTAACATGCCCTGAACTGTGAAAACAAGGTACCTTTGAATGACACAGGGATGAAGCAGAAGGGTATCTCAGTAATGACTGAAATTGAACTTGTCAGAGGCCTTGAAGGAGGAAATCTCAGAGTAATATATAATTTTCTTAAATAAAGACACATAATGTTTATTGCATGTGTCCCTTAATGTGTGAGTCATGATTGTATACCAAACATTTGTTTTCATGTCTGTCTCTGTTACTGGACCCTGAGCTTCCCCAGGGCAAAAACTGATATCCTTTTGTCTTTGAATCTCAGCTGTTACACAATCCTTATTACAGAGCAAGACCTAAACAAATGCCTGCTAAATGGATGGCTGAATAAATGAATCAATCAAGCAAGCAGTTAATCAGTCTCCAAGGGCTCTTCATGCCCTTACACTCAATGAAGGAAATGAAAAAGTACAGGATGCTTTAGTTCAATCTTCATTTGGGAATCGAATTAAGGTCTAAGCTCTCCCCAAGAAAACAAACAAAGATCGAAGGAAGGAGGGGAGAAGAGAGGATACTAACGTAGAAAGGCATGTCCCTTCCACTGGCTTTTGAGTCAGGAAAATGAATGATGAAACTTTCTTCTTCATTTGTTGCAGTAGCAGTTGCTTCCTCAAGGCAAATGCAAATCAGAGAATTGATTTGGATAATTCTATCAGAGAATTTGATCAAGGATTGTTAGAAGCTGCCAAGAAGTGATTGTTATGGGATACTATTAGGGAATCAAGGGTTTCCCCTCTAATTTTCTCCATGCCTTCTGAAAACTGAAAGCTTTACCAACTGGTTCTTCAGGTGTGTACATTCTAAGAGGCAGTGTCCAGATTTATTTGGATAAGGAATTTCTGTTTATGATTGCATAATTGCCTATTGTGTGTTTATTTGACTTCCAAGCATGTAGAACACGAGGACACAAAAGTAAATTCTATGAGAGGTCACATTCACCATGTTTCATAATATTACACTTTTTGGGGAGGGGGTTGTTTTGTTTTATTTTCTTTTATCTTTTCTTCTCTTCCCTTCCTCCCTCCCCTCCCTTCCCCTCCTATCCTATCCCTTCCCATCCCCTCCCCTTCCCTCCCCAGCCCTCCCCTTCCCTCCCCTCCCCTGTCCTCCCCTTCTCTTCCCTCCCCTTCCTTTCCCTTCCCTTCCCTCTCCTCCCCTCCTCTCCCCTCCCCTCCCCTTCCCTCCCCTTCCCTTCCCTTCTTCCCATCCTTCTCCTCCCCTCCCCTTTCCTTAACTTTCCATGGGGAGTTTTTAAGGTGATATTCTTCAATGCTCAAGGTTCCGTGCTCCTAGCAATACATAGGGAACCATATGTATTGCCAGAGATCAAAATGGGGGCATCTTTGTGAAAGGCTGTACTCCCTGTTCTCTCTCCTGCCTTTATACCACTTCTTTTACTTAGAATTGTTGGAACCTGTCCTCAGCAGGTGGAAAATAGTTATCAGACAATCAAGGGGTAAAAGTCAAATGACTCTTACGTGAGTTGGTAAAAACCTGTAGACTTTGTTAGCATAGAAGGGGATATTTGTGGGTTCTTAAGAATTGTGTGAAAGATTTGTCTATAAAACTGAGAAGCTTAAGAAGCTAGAGTTTAGTGTACTAGATAACTAGATAAGTCTGAGTCATTCCCTAATATGCAGGCCTCTCCTTTGACTCATGCACAATGTCATTTGTCCCGTCCCTTGATCCTTGATCCAGTGTATAAGGTCCCAAGTCCTGTCCCTCATCATCTGCTCGCCTCCTCCGTATCATGGTCTGGTCTTGTTCCTACACATTTCTCTGTCCACTGTTTGCTTTCCCAGTTTAAGATCTTGTCTCTGGGACTTTACTCTTTAAGACTGTGCCTCTGCAGTTCCCTGTCACCCCGGCTTTTCCTAGCCTGTGGCCATGGCCGTGTGTGCATGGATGAGAGACTTGTGCCCTTTACCTTGTTGCTGGGCATCCCATGTTTCACTGTTGTTCTGGCTCTCCAACCACATGCGCATAAGATCTCTGAGATTAAGAACCCTGCCTGGTCCTGCTCTCTGTCTGGATGTAAGAGAATTAGAAATAGAAATAGAAACAAGGGAGGGGTGGGGGTGAGAGAGAGAAAGAGAGTGAGAGAGAGAGAGAGACAGAGAGAGAGACAGAGAGAGAGACAGAGAGAGAGAGAGAGAGAAAGAGAGAGAGAGAGAGAGAAAGTCTGTCTGAAGTCTGGCTGGGGGCTTTCTGTTACTATCTCCTAACCCCAGTCATGCCATTATCTATTTTTATGGATACATTTCTAGTGGGCAAGATTTAAAGTGGCCAACTAAATGAATTAGTCCAGTTGGCGCTGCACCCTTTCACTTCAACTGTATTACAATGATGAATCCAGGTTTTCTTAAATTTTCTATAAAGACTGGGATTTTTTTCTTCTTTCCTTATGATCTTTCTTGTTAGACAAACTTAAAGCTAATTATTGGTTCTCTGTTACAAAAATTCTATCTTTACTTCTTTTTCATTGAAACATCATGATTTACTGTTTTGAGCACACAATATCACTGCACCTCACCAACCACCAGAGTACCAGTATTCTACTGTCTCTAAGTTTCTCTGGCCCCCTCCCTCCCCTTAGGAGATTCATCTCTCCAGACAGAATCTAGGGGTCTGTTTTCATTGGCTATTATCTATTCTCTTTCTATATTGCTTTCTATTCCAGGTATGAGTGAGATCATCTGCTGTTTGTCCTTCTTCCTCTGACTCACTTCATTCAGCCTGATGCCCTCTAGTTCCGTTCAAATCGTTGCACACGGCAGGATTTCATTGTGTACAGAGACCACAAGTTGTTTATCCACTCTCATCTGTTTTTGGGCACTTGGATTAGTAACTATCTCCAGCTGAAGTGTCCTGATTCTCTTAAGAGGGGAGAAGAAGGCCACAAACTTTCCCTACCTTAGGGCTATTTGGCTCTCTTCCCTCTTCCTCCTTCCACATCCCCTTTTAAGGTAAGAGTCATCCCATCCTGATTTGTTCTAGGTTCCACAGGAGTCAGAAGGATTAGGCAATGGACGGGCGGGACTGTGAGGCTCCAGCCCCACCCTTGGATGAGGGCTCACCGCCAGGTTACTCACAAGAGGTCACTGTGGCTGGCTGCTAGCACCAAACTCAGGCTGAAGCTGAGAACCACAGAGCTCAGACACGCAAGGGCAAGGTCCTAGAGGTCGGGCTTGTTTGGCTGTGGGGCCAGTTTGGCATGGTGACCAGGTGAGTGTTTTGATGACTGAGCTACCCTTTTCATCCACTCCTGTTTGGAGAGACATAGAATTTTGAAACCGAAAAAAAGGAGCCCTTAGAGATCCAAAGATAATTATAGAAGAAAATGCTCGAAAATACTTTTATCTCAACAAGAATAGGTTTTATTATTTTAAAATTTTTTTAAATTTTTATTTTGGGCCACACCCGGCAGGGAACAGGGCTTACTTGAGTCTCTGCACTCAAGGATCACTCCTGCCTGTGCTCAGAGAACCGTACTGAGTTCCGGGAATTGAATCTGAGTGGACCCCACACATGGCAAGCACCCTACTTGCTATACTATCACTCCAGCCCTGTGGATCTTATTTCTGAGAGAAATATTATATATTCATTATGTTAGAGACATGCATGGATTTGAGAACAGCTTTAAATAATAGGTTTCAGATAAATTCTCAATTCCTATATCAAGGATAATGCTCTTAAAATCTTCCTAGATACTTTGGGTTCACTTTCAAAGTTCAATAGCAATTTGTAGACCTTCTCAACCTCCTCTAAAATAAACCTGATTTCCTTTGTGTTAAGAGTCACAATGTGTTAGTTTTTGTTAGCTTTTTTTCTGTTTTATTTACAGGCTTTATAGTTTTGTTTGAAATTCATCTTTTGTAATGTAATCTTATTTACTATTAATTCATTCGATTGTATCCCCCCTCACCTCACATTTCTTCCGCCTGATGTTGCAACACTTGGTAATAATTCTCATAGAGGTCACAATTTACTTAATGGTGATATCCCATGCACGTACTTATGATTCATGTCATGTATTTTAAAGTTGTAGATTGTGGGTTCATCTTATGAGGCTCCTGACACAGGTATTTAGTTACACAGACATTTTGAAAATATAAGCTTTCATGGATAGGTACCATAATTCGAGAGCATTTTCATAATTTCATTTGAGTTAAAAGACATGTAATCAAATGATAACTCATTTTCATCTCTTTCTCACTACCTTAAGATTCTTTGAAAATATGCCAGGAGCATCAATGGTTTTTCTGTGTTGAAAACAACTTAGATTTCTTTGAAGATTTTAAAGAAATGATCGTAACTAATGATTTGTCTTTAATTAAATTTATTCCCCTTCCTTTCGTTACTGGTGTTATAGTGACCATTAATGTGTGTGCTCTTGTGAGGCTTGCCGGGTCCAGCACTCTTGTAACTGTGTTGCTTGCACACATTGTGGTTCTAGTCCTTGCCAGAAGTCACTTTGGTGCTTGCTGTGGATGACAAAACCAGTTGTGGTGTTCACACATATTTAGATGTGGTGCTGGCAACCTCCTGACTGTATGCCAGAGATCACACACTCTGTGCTGGTGGGGTCCCAGACAGCAGTGCGGCTTGGCACCCAATGTTGGAGCTGGGCATTCACTCATGGTCAGAAGTTACAAGGTAGTCCATTGAGCTATTAACCTTCTGGCACTTTTCTTTTCTGCACTCGAACTTCTATAGTATTATCATTATTAGAGATGAATCAATACCCTATTGTAAATGCGATCCAGATACCTTAGAACCTGCTATTTTATTCTATTTTACTTTTTAATCGCTCATAAAACTCATCTCAAACACAGGGATGAGAGAGTTTATACAAACTGGCTAGATAAGGGGAAAGGAAGATAGAAATACTTGTTGCAAACAGAAAAGAAATGAGGACAACAGGGTTTCAGAAAGGCCACGAACAGCTTTCTAAACAAACAGAGGCTGGTCTAAAGGCAAACAGAATCTCCTGTTTGTCTTTGCTCTGATGGTGCAATATGGTCTAATGGTCTGACTAACTGGGAATTTAGGACTCGGGTACTCAATTTTGCCTCAGGTTTGCTCTTCTGTGCTAGGAGGCCTTGGCCAGGATGATGACCTTGGCAGAGTTTCTTGATCTAAGAGAGGCAGATTTCCTGATTACAAAGCTCTGTGTTTATAAGCGGAAAGGTTGCAAATGGGTGAAGGGCATTATTACAACTAAAGCAAGACTTTCATGTATGAACAATCAAAGCAAGGCACTTTATTTTTCTTTGCACATTTGGGCTCCCATAACTAATGTGCTCTGCCCTGAACGGTGTGTGTTGCTTTTATTTATTTTCTTGAATTCCCTTATAGCCGAAGCAATTTAGAAAAGGGTGGGAGTGTGCAAAGGGTAAAGGGAACATCTATTGACCTCTCTGGCTAATTTCTTGTGCATCGTGCATCTCCCTCCATGTCCCAGCATTAAATCTTCACCTACCCCCCATATTCCTTGGTTATGCATATTGCAATGGTAGATTTTACCATTAGCATGACTATCTGTATTTTGTTCAAAATATTGTGTTTGCATATTATGACAGAACATTCAAACATAAGTGCTCTTTAAATGAAACCCCACTTAAAAAATATCACATGCATCAAAATTCTATACTTCTTAAAGCTGTTTGGTTTAGTAATGCTTGCTCATAAGTAAAACTCCATGGAGAGTTAAGAGCCTTTAGCCTTTGGTAAAGAGGAAATCAAGTAGAATGATCTCATCACCCTGAAGCACATCAAAAACTGCCAGGTAATTAACTTTTCACTTAGTATTTAAACAAAATATTTGATTTCAGAGTGAGAATTCTGTCATTTCTATTAGTGAGAGCCAGGTTTTCATCTCTTAATCTTGGATTTAAATAAACTTGGAAATAATCATGCTTTCTTTGAATTCAAAGTGCAGGCCTTAATTAGAAAATGGTTGCTTTTGTTTTTTTTAAATCATGTAATCATTCAAGAGGAATTGTATCAAAATTATTGCTATCAAGCCTTATGAATAAGTCAGAAAATATGAAAGATAGTTCCTTAAAATGCTTAGTAGGCTTCTAAAAATATGAATATTATTTTCTATTCAGACTACTTTTCTACCTTACAGAGCCTAGAGAAAAAATTTTAAATAATAGAGATATTTTTTCCTTATTTTTTCTTCTTTGTAGTTCACTTCCTTCCTATATTTCTTTTAATCTCCATCCTCTCCTTCCCTCATCTTTTTTACCCCCAGCATGTTTTTGTATCCTCTGCATACCTGGCCTGGTGTGGCTGAGTACCTTAGATTTAAAGGGAGTGAAACCCAGGATTTTTAGAAGGTAGGGGAGAATACCAAGGAAACCCACCTCATTATACCAGAGGCAAAATATGAATGAGATACAGAGACAATCAGGCTGGAGGGAGTAAGATTTCAAGGAGAGCGTCTCAGAAGTGAACTTTGAACAGGCACTGGAAGAGATAACATGTACCAAAGCATGCACAGAATACTCAGATCCATGCATCTTAAAGCATATGGAGGTGATTAGAGTTGTATGTGTGTGAAGGTGAAGCTGGCTAGGGCTGGAGTGATAGAACAGCAGGTAGGGCATTTGCCTTGCACATGGTTGCCCTGGGTTCGATTCCCAGCATCCCATATGGTCCCCGAGCACCACCAGTAGTGATTCCTGAGAGCAGAACCAGGAGTAACCTGAGCATTGCCGGGTGTGACCCAAAAAGAAAAAAAAAAGAAATGAAGCTGGGTTCTCAGGGAAAGGGGTTTTCTCGGCTTCTGCAGAATTTAGATTGATGACTCTTATGGGTAAATGTTAGTCATGGAAGGTGATTAGTTCCAAGAATGATAGGACATTTTTGCTGTTTAGAAAGAGCACCATGATTTTTTTTCAAGAGGTCTAGAAGGATTGGGAGGTGGAATTAAGAGCTGCTGGCACAGAAGGTGTCATATGCTAGAAAAGCTTTTACTTTTCCCCCCAAGGAAACCCCAAACCCACGTATTTATCCATCCTGAGCTTTTATTAAACATTCATTTATTGCAAGAACCCTGATTAAGGCAGTGGTAAAATGGATAACACTTAATCACCGCAAAGTTCTCAGCATTCCTCCCAAATTCCAATTTTTTTAAAAAAAATTTGGAATTACAAGCTTGCTGCTACCTGAACCCCACCTCCATGCACTATATTCAAAACCCATTTTAGAAAATTGAACATTCTAAAGCTCCTTTTGGGATAATTTTGAAATGCAACAGCTCCAATCAATTTAATAACCTCTATTATTTTACTTCCTTTAATAAATGTTTTCAATGTGAATGACCTCTCCCCTGGCACTAACCTTTCCACCCCCCACCCTCCTCTATTTTTCCACTTGCTTTGGCTAAAGCACAGTAATTTACAAACTTTTTCATAGTTGAGTTTTAGACATACAATATTGCGGTGTTGATCCCAACACCGGTGTAAACTTTCCTGCACCAATGTTCCCATATTTCCTCCCATTTCTCCTGGACCACCTCCAACCTGCACTCTCCACAAGCACCTTTCCAAGCTTGTTTGTTGAAATTTGGGTCCATTTATTTAGTGCTACGATTGGTTTGAGGCTCTTCGTGCTCCTAGAACAAACAGATGCCATTGGGCTACACTAGCATACGACAGGGACAAGTGGAGACATTACTGGCACCCGCTCGAACAAATCGACGATTAGTGGGAAGTCAAGTGATCAAGTGATTTAGTGTTGTTGACTCTGTGCTTTGGATACTTAACTCTATCATTTTTTACACCTCATTTTGTACCTGACTCCCTGACCTGGCCCCCATGCTTCACATCTGTCTTGTCTCCCCTGTTCCTCCACTCTTTCTTTCCTTGTCATTCTTTTACTCTGGAGCCAAGATTGATCAAGGAATTCCCCCTTTTAAAACATTGTATTGCCCCAGTCAGTTATTCTAAATATCCCATGTAAGTGAGATCATCCTGTGTTTATATCATCCTTTTTCTGGCTTACTCCATTTAACATGATGTCTTCCAGTTCGATCCATGTTGCTGCATGTTGCATGATTACATTATTTGTTATCACTATGTAGTACTCCACTGTGCATATATACAACATCTCCATGATCACCTTCTCTGACACTGAATATCTAGGTTAATTCCAAATCTTTGCTCTTGTACTGAGTTTTCTAATAAATAAAGGTGTGCATACATACTTGTGAATGA